ATGCCTGAAATTCAGATACTACAGCAGCAATCTCAGGGGTCTTTGGTATCCTATTAGGGTGTCTGTGACGTCAAAACTATTTGCATAGTATCAAGACATTTTTTTCTCTCTTTCACTGTGTTGACATTTGCATTCACAGTGTTCTAAAAGTAATTGGAGTTGAAAACTGCTGGTGCTTCAGTGTGTGCTAATCAGTAGTATCAGAAACTGCAATAATTAGTAGTTATTGTATTCTTTATTACCATATACTTGAGGTTGAAAAAAATGCCAATTTCACTTAAGAATGTCCATGATGTGGGCTTCTCTGGCGGTCCAATAGTTAAAACTTTGCCTTCCAATGTATCAAGTATGGGTTCAGTCCCTGATCTGGGAGCTAATATCTCCCATGGCTCAGGGTTAAAAAAAAAGAAGAAGAAGAAAACAAAACAAAAACAGAAGCAGTGTTGTAAAAAATTCAGTGTAGATTTTTGGCACGTTCCACATTAAAAAAAAAAAAGACCATGTTTTTAAAACTCTCAACCTTTTCGTACACTTTTGAAAGTATACTATGTGATAAAATGGGAAGTACACATAAAACACTTGCATTGCATTGTTAATTCTGATAGTTATCTCTAAGTAAAGCAGTCATGCACTCTTGAGTTGTGAGCTGACTGAGATACTTTTTTTCCCATGGAATAGCTTTTTTTTTTTTTTTTTGAGAACTGAGAGATAAGCTGGCTTTTCATAATTGGCAGATATTTTCTCACAAAGGAATGAGGTTAATTTGTCACTGAAGAAAAAATTGACAGTATCTGTTCCTAGTGATAAAATTAAGAATTTTTAAGAGAAAATTGGAACTTTGGAAAACTTGTATCACTTTCAGCTTGATAGCTTCCTAATACCTAGTCTTTAAAAAAGATTAGTGATGATATTAACAAATATGATATCTTGAAATAGTACAATGGAATGTGTCAAATATTTGGAAGATGTGCCAAATCTCCATTACCTAATTTTTTAAATGATCAGTTCATCTATGATAAACATATTGCATGTATAAAAGCTTCAAAGTGCAAAAGAGCAATAGCTTTTCATGTAACTTGGCAGTGCTCATTATGTTTCAGATTTCACATGGCAACTAATGTTTAAGAAAATACTGCGTATTAAGTTTTGGTATGGTATCAAATAATGCCCACCATTATCTGAAGAGGCAGTTAAAATACTGTCTTGTTTCTCAACTGTGTATATGTGTGAGACTGAGTTTTTTTCTTCTACTCAACCAAAACAACAAATTATAAACAATTGAGTACAGAAGCAGATATGAGAATCCAGTTTTCTTCTATAGGGCAGACGTTGTAGAGACTTGTGAAAATGTAGGGCAGTGCTGCTCTTCTGTAAGTTTTCTCAGTTTTTAAGTATTTTTCATTAAAAATAAAATTATGTTAATAGTTTTATGTTAGTTTTAAATGAATTAATAAAGTCAGTCTTTAAAAAAGTCTCATTTTTAATTTTTAGTATGTTAAATATCAGTATAAATAATTTTAAAAAGAGCTCTTTTCGTACATGATGCTATACACAGAAAATCCTAAAGACACCACCAGAAACTATCATACCTTATCAATAAATTTGGTAAAATTGCAGAGTACAAAATTATTATACAGAAATTTGTTGCATTTCTATACACTAACAATGAACTATCAGAAAGAGAAGTTATGATGATAATCCCATTTACTATTGCATCAAAAAGAATAAAATACCTAGGAATAAACCAACCTGAGGAGGTAAAAGACCTGTACTTGGAAAGCTATGAGACATTGATGAAAGAAATTGAGATTACACAAGCAGGTGAAGATATACAGTATTCTTGGATTGAAAGAATTACTATTGTTAAAATAACCATACTACCCAAGGCAATCTACAGATGCAACCCTTGTCAAAATACCAATGGCATTTTTCACAGAACTAAAACAAATAATTTAATAATTTGTGTGGAAGCACAAAAGACCCTGAAAAGCCAAAACAATCCTGAGAAAGAAGACCAGAGCTGAAGGAATTACACACCTTTACTTCAGACTATACTACAAAGCTGCAGTCATCAAAACAGTATGGTGCTGGCACAGGCATCACCAAGGATAAAGAGAATAGAAAGCCCAGAAATAAACTGACACACTCATGGTCCATTAATATACAGCAAAGGAAGCAAGACCATACAGTGGAGAAAAGATGGTGTCTTCAATAAGTAGTGCTGGGAAAACTGGATAGCTTCATGGAAAAGATGAAGTTAGAACATTTTCTAATACCGTGTGCAAGCTATACTCCAGATGGGTTAGAGACCTAAATACAGGACCAGAAACTATAAAATTCCTAGAGGAAAATATAAAGAGAACGCTTTTTGATATAAATTGTAGCAGTAGTTTTTTGAATCAGTCTCCTAAAGCAAAGGAAATAAATAAAAGCAAAAATAAACAAATGGGACCTAGTTAAATTTAAAAGCATTTGTGCTTCAAAGGAAAGCATCAACAAAACAAAAAGCCTTCTAAATGGGAGAAAATATTTGCTAATAATATGACCAATAACAGGTTAATATTCCTAAATGTATAAGTAGCTCATACAGCTTAAAATCAGAAAAGCCAAGGAGCCTGATTAAAAAATGGACAGAAGACCTGAACAGATATTTTCCAAAGACATGCAGATGACCATTCAGTTCAGTTCAGTCGCTCAGTTGTGTCCAACTGTTTGCAACCCCATGAACTGCAGCATGCCAGGCCTCCTTGTCCATCACCAACTCCCGGAGTCATCACCAACTCCCGGAGTCCACCCAAACCCATGTCCATTGAGTCAGTTATGCCATCCAACCATCTCATCTTCTGTCATCCCCTTCTCTTCCTGCCCTCAGTCTTTCCCGGCATCGGGGTCTTTTCAAATGAGTCAGCTCTTCACATCAGGTGGCCAAAGTATTGGAGTTTGAGCTTCCACATCAGTCCTTCCAAAGAACACCCAGGACTGATCTCCATTAGGCACATTAAAAAATGTTCAACATCATTAATCATCAGGGAAATATGTCCGAACCACAATGAGATATCACCCAGCACCTGACAGAATGGATGTCATTAAAAAGACCACAAGTAACACATGTTGGTGAGGATGTGGAGAAAAGGGAATCCTTGTATATATACTGTTAGCAGGAATGTAAATTGGTGCAACCACTGGAAAACACTATGGAGATTTCTCTAAAAATAGAACTACCATATGAGCCTGCAATTCCACTCCTGGGTATACATACCAAAACACTAATTCAAAATGTTACATTCATCCCAGTGTTCATAGCAGCCCCTCTCCCCTTCCTTCTCCACACTAGTTACCACTACTTTGTTCTCTGTATCAGTGAGTCTGTTTATTTTTTGCTGTATTTACTAGTTTGCTGTATTTTTTAGATTCTACATGTAAATACTGAGACATTATTTGTCTCAGTATTCCAGTATAAAAAAAGAAGGAAATTCTGCCATTTGCAACAACGTGGGTAGACCCAGAGAGTATTATGCTAAGTGAAGTAAGTCAGACAAATACTGTATGGTATCATTTATATGTGGAACTTTAAAAATGCAACAAACTAGTAAATACAGCAAAAAAGAAACAGACTCACTGATACATAGAATAAAGCTTGGGCAATTAAAGGGTAGAGGATTAAGTAGTACAAACTATGATGTAGAAAATAAGCTACAAGGGTATATTGTACAATATAGGGAATACAGCAAGTATTTTATAATAACTATAAATAGATTATAACATTGAAAATTGTGAATCACTGTACTATACACCTGTTACTTACGTAACATTGTTCATCAAATATACTTCAATAAAAATTTAATAACTCCTTGGCATGCTAAATAATTTTTAATATGTAAAAGATTTTAACAATCTATGGTCTAGAGAAATCCATATATAATTTGGAAGAGCATGTTTTAAAGGGCTTCCCAGGTGGCTCAGTGGTAAGGAGCCCGCCTGTCAATGCAGTAGCTGCAGCCGCTGCTGCCAAGTCGCTTCAGTCGTGTCCGACTCTGTGTGACCCCACAGGTGGCAGCCCACCAGGCTCCCCCGTCCCTGGGGTTCTCCAGGCAAGATCACTGGAGTGAGTTGCCAGTTCCTTCTCCAGTGGTCAATGTAGTAGACGTGGGTTCAGTCTTTGGGTCTGGAAGATCCTCTGGAGGAGGAAATGGCAATCCAGTCCAGTATTCTTGCCTGGGAAATCCCGTGTACAGAGGAGTCTGGAGGGCTACAGCGCATGGGGTCACAAAAAGTCAGACTCGACTTAGTGACCAAGCATGCAAAGTGCTGTAAAATCCAGAATGTACACGTTTTGGCTTAAAGCAGTACTTTGAAGTGTTTAAGTGGCAGTTTTTAAAAGCTTTATATTAGTGAGCATCCCCGTAGACAGGGGCTTCTGTTCCTGGAATTCTCCAGGCAAGGATACTGGGGGGGTAGCCATTCCCTTCCTTCCCCAGGGGATCTTCCCCATCTTTGAGCCTCTCGCATTGTAGGCAGATTGTTTACCATCTGAGCCATCAGGGAAGCCCACAGTAATAATCAGACTTTATTATTTTAAGTCAAATTATTTTGAAACTTTTCTAAAGCTTCATTTTCATTTTATGTATTTAAAATGCAACAGAGGAAGCCAAAAAATGTAATCCATTATTACTTGCAAAGCTTATGCAAGTTTTTGTGGACTTTTCATTTTTTTCAGTTAACCATGGCTGGTTCGTGAACAATAGATAAGGTATAAGAATGCTGAAAAGATGTTCTGTGACTACAGAATATTCTTGGTATCATACAGATGAAGTGACTATTTTATATGAGTTAAATGGATAAAATTTTATTTAAAAATGAGTAATTGTATAGTCCGTTGCTGTTTTGGAACGCATATGAAAATAATTCACCATAATGGGAGCCTTTTGCCTGTTTGTACTGTTGATCATGCAACATGATGGTTAGTGAGGTTTCTGATTTCTCTTTTTTTCTCTAAGCAGATAATCTCAGTGATACCTTGAAGAAGCTGAAGATTACAGCTGCTGACAGAACTGATGATAGTTTAGAAGGATGCTTGGATTGTCTACTTCAAGCTTTGACGCAGAATAGTAAGTTGATTTTTTTTGGCTGGTGGGGAGCGGTGCCCTGGTGGTTTAGACGGTAGAATCTGCCTGCAGTGCAGGAGACCTGGGTTTGATTCCTGGGTTGGGAAGATCCACTGGAGATGGAAATGGCAACCCACTCCAGTACTCTTGCCTGGAAAATTCCATGGATGGAGGAGCCTGGCAGGCTACAGTACATGGGGTCGCAAAGAGTTGGACACAACTGAGCAACTTCACTTTGCTTTATTTTACACTTTAGTAAGTTTTTTAATGTTTACTCAAATGCCAAACCAAAAAAAAAAAAAAATCAAGTCAGCAGTCTTTCAGAAATTCATATATAGTTTAGCAAATAACTTGCATTTACATTGTTTGAATTCTTTTGAATCCTATGTTTGAATACTGATGTTGTTTCACTTGTTCCACCCTCCTACCTACCTCCCCACCCCCAGGATACTGAAAGCCAAGTTGATAGGCAGAAGAAAGGAGGAATTGATTGGTAGTGATGACATTAATACCAGTCCCAGAGAGAGGCAGTTCTTAACAGACGTGCCCCAGGAGTTGTTTTTCTTCTTAACACCTACATTTGTGCTTTAAAAAAAAAGACTGTGTTTACGTGTGGAGAGGAGAAACAGAGAGGAAGCTTATGAAAAAAGAAAGGGCGCTTAAAACCCTTAACATTTTTTTATGATGGCTTTTTAATCATTTTACTTTAAAATAATGTATGCTTAGATTTAATTGGAAAGAGCCATCACCAGTCATCCAAAAATCCCTTAAAATTGAGGTAACTCTTGATCTTTGGTGGTGTGGTAAATAATACTAGAGATAAAAATTAAATAGCTCTTCACTGACCAATTCATTGTATTGTTGCATTTGAGCTATCATATTTCTAGTCATTAATTTCTGTATTATCACAGTGAATAGATAGATACAGAATAATTTTCAATTGTTCTCTTAATTCTGCTTGGTTGTACTTTGGTTTATGCCTTACTTGTTTTTAATTATGCCTTTATTTTACCCTGGGAGTAATTATGTAGCTGACAAATAATTCAGGAAGGAAGTTATATACTGTGTTGTTAAAGTTAAATTTGAAGCACTCTGAGATGTATGCATTTTTTTTCTTTAGTAAATTGTGATTATAAAATTAAAATAACTGATTGCAGTGCTCTTCATCAAAAAGTGCATTTTAAAGTTGGCTTTTAAAATTCTGTTTCAGTAGTTGTTTGGTTTTGAGATTACAGTTTTTCAAGCTGTTTGATCTTAGAGATATCACAGAAGGGGTTTAAAACAAGGTGTTCAATGAGACCATCTGGATAAAGGGCACAATGGTAATGAAAAGGAACAATAAAAAAGGGACTTCCCTGTGGTCCAGTGGTTGTCCTTGCTTCCAATGCAGGCGGTTTGGGTTCCATTATGGTTTGGGAACTAAGATCCCCACATGGCACAGGGCCAAAAAATAAAACGCAAGCCATATTGTAACATATTCAATAAAGACTTTAAAAATAGTCCACATCAAAAAAACTTTAGAAAAAGAGAAAAGAAAATGTGTAAGCCTTTGTTCACCGTTATAGTAGATATATGTGGCTACTTAAATTTAATAGTTAAATTTAATAAAAGATTAAGTTTTTTACTCTTAATTTTTCAGTAACCCTGTTTGGTTGGTGATCATAGATGTAAACTATTTGCATAATGACAGAAGATTCTTATGGGTAGCACTGGTCTTAAGGATTAGAGAACACCACGTGATGACCTGATTTTTACACATGCCTGTATAGGTCGATTTACATAATATATAATTAGTCTACATAAATTGAGTATCTCAAGTTCATTTTTTTTTGAAGCATTGCTTTTTATAACTTCTTTTGTTTTAAATGGCCCAGTTTTTTCTTTATGTTAGAAACAGGTAGTATTTTCCAAATGGACCATTCATTCAGTACCTGAAGGACAGGGATTCCATGTCCTTGGTTATACATGGAGGTGTAATCAGCCCTCTCCTGAAAAGACTGAAACCCAGTGAAAGTTGATGAAGAGAAATGAAAAAAGGAAGCAATATTTTATAGCATTTTAAATAACAGATTCAGGAAATATTGACAAGTGTGTATGGTGTTGGATTAAATTTCAGACCCATTGCAGAGTTATTTGTTAGCCCCATTTATTGAAAATGGTCTTGAAATTGTATTTCATAAAATGTTAAGGACAAATAGTTACACAATGGTAATGAAAACAACAAACTGCCAATTTAATCATTGACTCTTCAGGAAGAGAATAAAAGGGATATGTCTTCTTAAGAATCTGTAACAAAATTCATAATTGTCTTCACATCTGAGACTGTTGACACAAAAGAATTTGATATAGGAAGAGGTGGTTCCTGCAGATGTACTGTCTTTAACTTTCAAATGATATGTATCATTGATTGAGCATCCACTATGTACTCAGCACTAGACTTCAGACTTAATCTGTTGTCTGATCTTTCCTATAGACCCGTGATGAGGTATTATATACATCACCATTTAAAAGATAGGGAAACAGTCCCTCTAAGTTTACTTGCCTTGCTCTGGCAGAATCCAGAGTTTGAATTTTAACTCTTAGTTTACAAAATTAAAAAAACTACATTCTGAGTAAAGTACAGCTTTTTTCTGATTTTATAGAATGTGAAACAATGTTTTCAGAAGCTAGATTTTAATATTGTTTTAAATTTTTGCTTTTTTTTTAAAAAGTAGTTTCAAATTATTAGTATAGAGGAAGGAGATTTATAAACCCATGAGCTGTCTATTTTTAGATATTTATTGATGTGTTTTATAAAATTAACATCTAGCTTTTAAGCAAGAAAAATTTTAAAAATTTTAAAAATATCAATGAGATGTTTATTTTATACAGTTCTTACTTCTCTGAATAAAGTGCTTGATCCATTGCTACTTCTATGCTCTTAAAGGTAAAATTATAAGGCATGTAACTTAGAATCTATTCTGGCTTTTTTACACAGAGAAGTTCTAGTTTCATAATTCTTCTTTTAGTGTCAGTGTTTTAACTAAAAATATCATTAGTTTTGCATTAGTATTGTTTGCATTAGTAATGTTTGCATTAGTATTGCACCTGATCAAGAAAGAATGATTTCTCTATCTGTACAAAATGGTGATGTGGGTAATGGAAATCTAAAAGTTTTATTTTATAATTTACTAACCTGTCATTGGAAGGGACATTTCTGAAAGGAAAGAAATCATGCTTCTAAATTTTTACATGATGGGAATTTACAAATGATTAGAATCTGACATTAGAATTTTCACTTTGCATGACTTCAGAGTATTTTTTTGAATTCGGAGTGGGCATTAAATCTAGTATATGTAAGGATCTTAAGAGACAAAAGTTGAAAATTTGAGTATTTGCTAGACTTTATGGAAAATATTTTGTTTAAGCAAGCATTTTGTGTACATCTGAGATCTGAATTAATACAGAAGCATTCAGTCACTCATTTATTACTAAATACTTCATATCTCAGCTTTAAAATGTTTTTAGTAAATATATAAAGAAATCAACCTGGTTTATTCTGGTCTGTGTTGATTGAGGAAATAGAAGATTCTTGGTAAATGCTTGTTGAATTGTAGTATTGGTACTCTATTTCATGCTTATTTGAAAACAGGCCACATTTTTGTCCCTGAACATTAAGAGAGGAATTGTCCTTAGAGAATATGACATCTGATCCACCTTGTAGAACAACCTACTATCATAAATTACAGGCCTCAAAATAAGCAAAATTAACAGTCATTCATAAAAATTATGTTCTGTTGTAAGAGAATGGGGACCATGTTCTTGTTGGTTGGGGGAAACACAGAGCAATATCAACATGATCACCAACACAGCTTCTACATCTTTTTCCTAACAGATTAGATTGTTTCCCTCTGTCTTACTGCCTCATATGCCTTTGTGTTTTAACTTGAGTTAATTGCCTGGTGGCAGTTATTTATTATCTATAGAAAACCTTAAAAAAAAAAAAACCCTTATGAAAGAACATCAGTTTACTTGTTTTTAAAGAAGGAAATATTTAGTATCTAGTTCCATATTCATAACTTCATAATATTCATCTCCCTATTGAATTCTTGGGTTATTTCTTAGCTCTTACTCTTTATTTTATTCATTATGTTGATTTTTGGTTCCCTGTTAGGCTATAATCCTAAGCGTATCAAATAATGTACAGAAGCTGCTCAAGTAGATCATAAATCTTCTCTAACAGTAATTTTCTGTTGTCATTTACTTTTAGTCTGCTTTATGCCTTTACTTTTTTTGAACAGACTCGTTGTCATGTATCAAAATTATTTCCTAAGTTAAGGACTTTGAAATTTATTATCAACTGTTTCTCAATAGCCTTATTAAATCTGTAGTTACTGATCATGAAAGATTGCTGCCATTTTAGTAGAAATGAAAGTTTATTTTACTTAATTCTTTCATAGTAATATCTAGATATCACTTTTTTACTCTAAGGTATCAAATGTACCACGGAGCGATATGTCCTTTTTGCAAGCTGAATTATGTTGGTCTCCTCCTTTACATACTTTTGTATTATGTGGCTCTTCTAATTATCATGTCCTTCATTCATGAGGGCTTATGGCTGGTGCTAATCATAAATTACCAAGGGTTCAGTTTTTATTAAATAAATATAGTATTTGAAGAGTAGAAGAGACTGAACTGGAGACTGTGGTCAACTAAAAAGACACTGAGAGTTCTTGATGAGTTAAAATCTCCTGGATCTTCCCTGTAGCTTACATGGTAAAGAATCTGCTTGCAATGCGGGTTACCCGGGTTTAATTTCTGGGTCAGAAAGACCCTCTGGAGAAGGGAATGGCAATCCACTCCAGCATTCTTGCCTGGAGAATCCCATGGACAGAGGAGCCTGGTGGGCTACAGTCTGTGGGATCGCAAAGAGTCGGACACGACTGAGCAACTAGCACCACACTACTACTACTGCTAGTGGTTGTTCAGTCGCTAAGTTGTGTCCAACTGTTTGTGACCCCATG